GCGGGCGGCACTTCCTTTACGGTCGCATATTCTGCCAGTGGGCATCAATACAGCATTTTCTGCAAGCGCTCGACAGATAATCTATTTCAGCGAGCACTGGTCAAAGTTTCAGCAAGCGCTCGGACTTTTTTTACGCAGTCTCGTGCGTACGCCGAGCTAAGGTGAACTCTATACCTGGCAGAGGTACCATCGATGGTTTGACTACCCGAGTTTGGGGTACTTTCTCTCGGCGGAAGATACCTGCGGGCTGTGCGGTCCTCCACAATGGACCGCGCGGTCTTCATCATGCATATTCTCGCGGAGAGTCCGCGAGAATGCGGCCACTGCGCCGCAGCTAATCTATAAGGAAACTGCGACTGTTCTCCGAGCTTCGTCTAAAATTTCGTCAAAATTCTTCCAAATGTCCGCAAGCGGACCGCAAGAAATCAGCGAACTATTTTTCCGGTGCCTGCCTGCCCATAAATCGCATGGCCGCCTGCCCCCAGCGATTATTTGAGTATTTGAGCACTCCCATTATAAGGGTCTCACCATCCTTCACAAGGCACTTTTTTGACGGACCTCAGGCAAAGTATATATTTCTGAAAGCGAAGAACGACATGGTTCCGATGGTGACTATATTTCCTTGTACAAGTTGTTCATCTTCAGAAGTTACGCATTTCTCTATCCTAAAAACTCGTGAATATCCAGAAATCACTGCCCACACCCTTCACCAGGTACTTCTTTCGACAGACTCCAGGCAAACTGTATATTTTCTGAAAGCGGAAGACAGGATGGTTTTGAAGCAATTGCCTTGCACCGTTGCTGTTAATCTACAGAAATTACGAATTTTTTCTTTTAGAAAATTCGCAAATGCTTAAAAATTGTCTAACTCTTTCCGAAGCAAATGTTCTCGCATGCACATTTTCTATGGTAATTTCAGAAACAGACAGGTGGTGTAAAAACGTAAAAAAGGGAAAGGGGAAAATGTAAGAAAAAATACAAGGTGCTTGTCAGAAACATAATTGTGTTAATCTAGCAGGACATCGCTTCACATTTTAGAAAAAAGACCACCAGTGATGACAAGGAATTCAAAATTATAAACTCTGACTAGGAAAAATGATGAGAAAATACCATGGCGACCGCTGTGACCCTCTTCACCGTGGAGGGGTCATTCTCACCTTATCGCACCTATGGGCAGAATCATGAAAGCAGGAAACGTATTTTTTAGCAAAGCACAACAAGCTTCACAAAATGACAGAACATGCGCGAAACAGATTAGGGAAACAAAAATAGATCAGGAACACAAAAATGTCTTTTTTTTGGTTTTCTCCATTAATCATGTTTTGGAAACTGGCGTTTGTAGAGGGCATATGATGACAATTGCGACGGAATGTAGTATATTGATATCCATGTAAGAACAGTCCAACACTGTTTGGCAAGGGCGCGCCATTTTACACATTTCGACTTGTAGTTAGGAATATTATAGCAATTGTATTTATTGTCTGATGTGGAGAGTATATTTTTTAAGCAAGTAGGAGGCCCGTGATATTCTCTCAGCACTTGATTTTCGGTCGATTTTTTAGTTTTGTCAAACTTCATTTGGACTGACTATGGTGCAAATGTTTCGACATTATATCGTAGAACTGATAGAGCTTGCTTTTCCTTGTCAGATAATAATATTCTCATCAGACTTTGCACTTTTCTGCCAGGATAAGAAACTCGCTTGAGTTTGCATCAGTCCAATATTTTTTGAAACTGAAGTGTAATGAGATTATAGCGCATAACTCGTTCAGAAATATATTTTACTATTTTGGGTAAATGGAACTTAACTGTGATTACGTTAGTACTGCCTTTGAAAACTTGACGATGTTGATAAGAACATGTTCAACTTATCTTTGAGTATGCTAGCTTTGAAATATTCATGCATTCTTTATGTGGCAGGTTGAAATTTGCAAAATATAGTGTTCAATAAAACTAGGGTGACATGACGCATGCACAAAAAAATTTATTATATCGCAGATTTAGGATTTTTGCATTGTTTGTTTTAGATGGAAAGTAATGAAGTTGTCGATACATGTGCATCTCCAGAGATCTTAGCCCAGTACTGAAATGAAAAGTACAGTCTCTCCAGAATTTTGACGACGAATGCGCATGACATGAAATTTTAGCAAAAAGACTATTTAACTTATTACATCCTCCTCCTCCAAGTAAGCCTCCTCCATTATTTCCATAACCTTGGTTTCCGTAGCCTATAAGGAAAGCCGCTAACTTCAACAGAAAATGTCAAAGAATCCTACCACCTCCACCCAGTCCACCTTGATTACCATACCCTTGGTTACCAAAACCTCCTTGATTGCCGTATCCTCCGCCACCGAGTAAACCTGGAACATTGAGCTAATTTATAATTAGTTGTAAGTGAATGGACTCACCTCCGAGTTGACAATGAATGCTAACAACGAATACCAGGGCAAATACGATCAGTGAAGTGAACATTGTGAAGAACGTGTGCATGAGACTATGCAAACTAATATACAATCACTTTTTTGTGAAGAAATGCAAGGTAAAATACTTTTCGCAGATTATGGCAATGCAAAGTAGAATCTTCTGTACTATTGTGAGATACAATGCACGTAACTAGCCATAGTGTTGGCTGTGATTACAATGAAAAACAATGTGACAAAGCTACCGAATTCTTCAATGCAGAACCCGTTCTCGTGCCACCTCTGTTAACCTGTGGTAACAGCTTGAGCATTGGATGTGATTAATTGAGCAGTTTTTCCTTATGATTTCAGTTATTTTTAGACATTAGTCACTAGAGAGCTTTGATCAGAGAAGGAACTGCGCGTAAAACTAGAGCAGCTCGTCTGGCGATCTGCCAAAATGTTCATAGTTCTCGTGCGAAGGTTTATAAGTGTAAAGTGCATTGGCTGATTTTTGGTGAAGAATTTACAAAAATGAGCGGAACTAGAACGCAGCCCATGCAAGTCCACATTTTTCGACCACCTCAAAAAGCCGAACCCAAACTGAGTTTAGAAGTTTGTGGTAGTGTTGAGAGCTTTCCAGACGCTCCCTTGAAACCACTGACGGAAAGATTCAGGTGAATTCAGTGAGAACAGGCAAAGTGATTAGTCAGAGTGAGACATTACTGGTGTTAGGTCTGTTTTCCTATAATTATCCTGCTTTAAAAGTAACAGCAAGTTCTGAGGCAATAAACTTAATTAAGGGCTTAATATGGGCTATAGGGCTATATCCTTCCCTTGTAAGTGCTGGTTATAACTTCTGTGATTCTATTACAGCTGCTTGCGAGTTTTTTTCAAATCCACAAAAGGGTTCAGAATACTTTCTGAGGATAGCCAGTGACAGTAAGGTTAAACAAATACAACTACCTTCTTCCGCATAAAGCCCTTTTTTGGCCAAGTTTTATCTTGTTAAAATAGACGTTTCTCGACGAACATATTGTCAAATATAATATTTATAATTATGCAGTCGAGGTAATATGACGGCGTTGAATTTTGTGGTCCTAGTTTTACAAATATACTGATTTTTTGTTGTAAATTTATATATGTGCTACTACAGGGTGTCCCAGAAGTATAGACTGTATGAATGCTTCTGACCTTTGAGCAGCTTTCTGTAGGTCCGGTTTTACCTTAGATTTACAGTATAGAGACAGTTAACATTTGCTTCAATGTAGAATCATGGTAGCAATTCCCAGCACGGGGTGTTATCGTTGCGTCGTTCTCAAAAAATTTTGGAAAAGATCTAGGTTGCTTAGCAAGATTTCCGTGCACTTTAATTTCAATAAGTAGCTTATTATGAGAATTCTAGGCTTGATGATGTAATCGCATTATGATTTGCGTTGAAAAAACAGTCGTTGCGATTATCTGGCAAAACTTATAAGCGAAGCGTCGCGCAAAGGAGTCTATATCATATTTACAACAATAGACTCTACTTGTATACTATGGAATGATGCTCCTCATGCATTTTGGTGTTTACTCTGCGCGGTGACAGAAAGCGACATCATTTTGTTCGTAACCTATTACATCGAATCGATATCACCAGAACAGCTTTTTTGCTTTACCAGGGAGTCCACTCGCAATTTAGGAAAAAACCGCATTTTATAGGTTGAATTAATCAAGAATGATAAAATTGCACAGGTAGAGCTAGTTATCGTAACAATGGATGTGATAGTACTGCTTCATACAATGTCCCTTATGGACAACAAGCTTGATAAATGGCCAGCAATTGTTTGTGCACAACATGTTTTGTACACCTGCTTATGTTATTGTTTGTATCACCTAATTAGTTAGACGAGGTTACGAGCAAAGATGGTGTTGTCCATGTTTTTACATAAGGGTGAACGGAAAGTAATGAGCACTTCGCATAATCTTAACATCAGTATTCTCATCAAGAGTCTATTAAATGCCACATTTCGAAAGATTCTGGGACGTATCATTCTCTTCGATTCTATTGGTTGGCGGATGATTTCTGTTACACTTTTTTGTGAAATTTTGAAAAATTCTAGAACTTCTCTAGAATCTTCAAGGTTGCTTCATATGTAGACCATGGCAGGGCGCACACAACAGTAAGACCCGTGCCGCAAATGCATAAATAGCTAGCAAGTTTACGACAACTTTATAAGAACACTCAAAATTGTCATTTTTTCATGATTTTTTTCTTTGCGTCAAATAGTGTTTTTCTCCCATAATTTTTTTGGAACATATTCTCGCATTGCCTCTTTTATGGCAGCACTTTGGTGCCGCTAGCACGCCAAAAACAAGGGGTGAAAACAAGTCAAGAAAATCAAAAAATTAGTCAAAAATTTTTAGCATTAGCGAAAGTATTGTCTGATTTGTAGGCTTAATTGTCGAAATCTACCAAGCAAAACCTATACAGATGACACATATTAAAAAAATTTTAATATTTTAAAAAACCATTTCGAGCCATAATACACTCGATCACAGTAGGTACAAGCAGTTTTATTAATACTAAATACAAAAATATCAATGTCTTTGTTCCATTGTTTAGCGACCCAAGCCAAGTGCTGAAAATGCACAAGTTACTTCCTATACATAGAGATGCAGTAAATGTCGGAAACATACTTCCTCCTCCATTTCCGAGGAGGCCTCCGCCTTGGTTGCCCATGCCCATGCCTATATTGGGACACATGTAAACAATTTGGCAATTTCAAAACGATCAACTCAACCTCCTCCCTGCTGTCCGAGTCCACCTCCTTGTTGTCCAAGCCCTCCTCCTTGCATTCCCATTCCACCTGCATTGCCTCCAAGCCCTGGGGGAATTTTCAAAGTAAACCTTATCTTCTTATATATAAAGCTGAATGTCTGTTTGTATGTATGTATGTATGTCTGTCTGTATGTATGTATGTGTGTACGTATGTTCCGAATAGAAAATTCCATTTCTGAACCGATCCGGACCAAACTTGGCACACATACACTACGGGCCCCGGCGGTTGTCATAGGCTACTTTTCGTCATCGATCGATATCGATTTTATCGATTTTTATCGATTTTTTTGCTGAGTTTACCTACGGGGCTGGGAGTTGGCACAGGGGGGTAATCGAGCATGGGGATTCCGAATACAACATTGGTTTTCAGGATTATCGATTACTTTTATCGATTTTATCGATTTTTTTGCAAAGTTTGAGCTACGGGGCTGGGAGTTGGCACAGGGGGGTAATCGAGCATGGGGATTCCGAATACAATATTGGTTTTCAGGATTATCGATTACTTTTATCGATTTTATCGATTTTTTTGCAAAGTTTGAGCTACGGGGCTGGGAGTTCGCACAGGGGGGTAATCGAGCATGGGGATTCCGAATACAATTTTGGTTTTCGGGATTATCGATTACTTTTATCGATTTCATCGATTTTTTTGCAAAGTTTGAGCTAGGGGGCTGGGAGTTGGCACAGGGGATAATCGAGCATGCTGATCATCCCCAAGGGGGGTGATCAGCATGCTTGATTACACCCTGTGCCAAATTCTAGCCCCTAGCTCAAATTTTCAAAAAATCGATAAAATCGATAAAAGTAATGGACGATCTTGAAAACTAATATTGTATTCGTAATCTGCATGCTCGATTACCCCTGTGCAAACTCCCAGCCCCGCAGGTCAAACTTTACAAAAAAATCGATAAAATTGATAAAAGTAATGGACGATCCTGAAAACTAATATTGTGTTCGTAATCAGCATGCTCGATTACCCCCCTGTGCAAAATCCCAGCCTCGCATGTCAAAATTTACAAAAAAATCGATAAAATCAATAAAAGTAATCGATAATTCTGAAAACTAATATTGTATTCGGAATCCCCATGCTCACTTCCCCCCCTGTGCCAACTCCTAGCCCTGTAGGTGAACTCTGCAAAAAATCGATAAAAATCGGTAAAATCGACATCGATCGATAACGAAAAGTGGACTGTGACACCCGCCGGGGCCCGAAGTGTATGTGTGCCAAGTTTGGTCCGGATACGGCGGAGCCGGGTAAGCCAGCTAGTTATTTATTAAAACTTTCAAGCTGCTCATACCTCCTTGATTTCCGAGTTGGCACTCAACTCCAGCAACGAGTAAAAGAGCAAATAAGAAGAATGAAGTGTACATCTTGAAAGTGCCGCCTGAAAACATGGATAAGAAAGAAGATTGAAGCTTTAGTGGGATAGAGACACGTTCAACATTATAACAGCATTTTCTCTACAGAGTTGAAAATGGCGGTTTAAATAGTCTTAGAAATCATGACCTGTGTATACTACGACGCAAAACAAAGTTATGGTATAATTTACAGTACACTACTTTACACAACAGGTGTTTGCACGGTCTAGTCGATAACTAAAGTCTGTTGTTCAATAGAATTTGGTTTCTTGATGTTTTAGCAAATTGTGGACAGATGCAGCGAAAGTGCTCAGATCAAACGAGTTGATGCAATCATAAGAAAGTTTGAAAAACATCGTTTGTCTTTTATTACTGCATTCAATAGGGCATCTATCACACCTTAGTTAAAGAGATGCTTTCCGTTACGCGGCGATAGTACCGGCATAAGTGTGTAACAATCATAAAATAGACACTGAGTCAGTAAATATCTTAGTCGTAATCAGCAGACCCACATACCCTCTGTGCCAATTTTTAACCCTCTTGGGCGCAAAATGCCGAAATAAAATAAATCGATAATGTCAGTCATTAGTTGGTGAGATAGGTTAATGACATACGCCCCGCCACATCATGTTAGGATGAACGGTAAAAATGGGACACCTAGAGAATAACTGTAGATTTCTCAAGAAAGAGAAGTCGTTGAACTTTCCAATTTTGACAGACATTAGAATATATTGTTCTCATTCAGACAACACCATATGAGGTCATCAACATTCTTAATAGTCTTTATACTTGCTGAAATGCAAAGCTAGTCACTTCGACAAATTATAAACTTCGAGCATTATCTGCGCAGTGGAACATGTGAGATTATCCGAAGTACTACCACTGCAATGGGTGGAGGTACAGTCGCCATACCCACGATGGCTTGATAGCCGCAACGGTCAAAGTCATGAGAAATGGTCATTGGCAGTTTCGAGAACGAAGATACATATTATTTACTTCTTCAAGTGAAAACATTTAACTGGCTACTTTCTGATAGAGCTCTTTACACTCTATCCATCCATATACTGTTTGCCTCAAATTATTCCTATCTTCGAAAATTAAAGATTGAAACATGATCTTTTGGTTTATATTGCGCCAAAAGTTCGCAATTTTTCAAGTTTTTTGCTTTTTTATCTCGAAATAAAAGTTTGAAAGAGGAGCTCTTTCAAATGGTATGTGATTCTCTTTATAATTTTACGGTATGACAGCGCAAGAATGAGAGATGTTCAAAAAATCCTGTTCGAGATCCTATCACGAGTAGGGTTGGGGGAGAGAAGCGTTAACGAGTTGCCAGAATGATGGGCGAAGGTCGCTTATATAGGGTATCCCAAAAAAATGTGAACACTGTTTGATTGTTAATAACTCCCTTGCTTTCATGTCCTTCGCCGAGCTTGAGGCACCATTCTATAGAGCGAGGTTTAACTTAGATTTACAGTATGGAGCGAATCACCTATCGCTCTTCATTACTGTAGGATTACGGTTGGAACTTGGACAAAGATTTTAGACTATTGAAGGCCACATTCTGCCTCGGAACAAGACCAAACAAGCCAAAAACTTCTATACTACGGTAATGGAAGTCGCTGATTTCGGATATGAAATTTCCACTTTACTGTGATGCTTCTTTCCAAGGTTATCCCAGGTAAACCGAAATGACTGAATTTCCAGCATTTGTCAGAAATGTGAATACACCGCCAAAAAAGCTAAAAACACTCATAAAAAGTTGTGTAGTGGAATCAGCGTAGGCAAAAACCTCGGTACACGATTTCTCAGATTTTTTGGAGAAAATTTTGTCAAATGGCATATTTCACTGTAGATCCACATGCTAGAAGTTCATACCGTAATCCTACAGTAAAGAACAGCGATCGGTGATTCGCTCCATACTACAAACCTAAGTTGAACTCGCTCTACAGAATGACACCTCAAGCTCGGCGAAGAACATGAAAGCAACGGAGTTATTAACGATCAAACAGTGTTCACATTTGTTTGGGACACCCTGTACAAGAGACGTTTGAGTTGCAGCCTGCTTGCTGTTGCTCTAAAAAATCCTAAAATGTAATGAAAATCAAGCTGTCCCATTTTTCACCGTTCACCCTAATATATGCGAAACTTACTGCAGAATTCTCGATTCTTTCTATCATTTTTGGCAGGTCTTAAGGGAAAAGCTGAGCAAAAACGCGAAAAATCAATAAATCAGTAAGGCCACTCAAAACTTTTCAGCAGAAATAGCTTACTGTCGCCCCATTCTAAAGTATGTGCACCACTCTAAATCCCATTGCTCCTGGTCCGGCACACGGGTTGCAAATGTCTAACTGGAAATCGCTTGTAGAAAACAATAAGGGAAAAATCGTACGAGATCCGGACGAAGGCGTAAAAGCGATATTAGTTCGACTAGCGCGAACGCGGTGCGCGTACTTCCACCGTTGTGAACTTGCGCCTCAAGCACTCTGCGGCTGATAAATAAATGTTCGCCTTCCTACAGTTTGCACCTTTGTCCGGCAATAGCTTTTTTAGAATTCACGTAGATGAAATGCATGGTCAATTTGAATTCTCTGCCGTTTCCTGAAAGAACAGCTTGTTTGCAGCGCACAGGTAACAATATGGCAGCAAATTTGGTTTTTGAGTAAAGAAGCTGGTAGGCTAGTAAGCACGAAAAAAATATTAACAATTATGAGGAGGAAGAGTTTGGCGATTTTCCTAAAAAAACTTCATCACTGAAAAATGATAAAATGACTTTATCGCAAGTATTAGGCAACGGTGGACACTAAACTTGGCGTGCATCCACGCAGGTTCGGCTAAGAAAAAAAGCATGAATGGTATTAAAAGCTTACTTAAACAAAGAGCGCGGTTACAGGGAAGCCTTTTGACTCAAAGTGGCCTTTTTCATCAGAATATATAGCCTAATGGTGGCCTTGAGATGTGTTTCCAATTATGCGTCTTAGATTTGTGCTAGCGATTCACTGAACGATGTCATAGGCAAATGTTTAGGCACAGGCTTTACCGCATTTGGTAAACTGGGCAGGGCAGAAAAGCAGAGTATTACCATCAAGATAAATAAAACTTGAACGAATTGGAGAAGCCTAGCAGAAGGGCTGTGCAATAAGCGGATGCCGCTCAAGCTAACCGATTCGCACTAGAGTCCACCAACTGCCCTATATGGCTGTTGGCCGTGTACGAAAGAAGAAGAAACAAGGATCAGAATGATGGAGGCGCATATGCTAAGATGGACGGCAGAAGTCGCAATGATGGACCATCACCAACGATACCATATAGGCTACTGCATGACGAAGGCACAATATCTTTGGGCGCGAACGCGGCTTTATTAGCCGTAGAGCGCATGAGGTGCAAGAATTACAACGGTGGAGATACGCGTGCGCCGCATTCGCGCCCACTCAACTAATGCTGCTTCTGCGCCTTCGTCCTGCAATAGCCTTTACAAGCCACGATGTAGGTCGCTAGAGTGTCAATGTTTATGGAAGTCCTAAAGGAACCAAGAGGAGGTCAAAGCTACGATGGGTGGATGAAGGCAGAATTGCGAGAACGGAGATACATAAGTATCAAAGTGAAGATCGCGAAGTTTGGAGAAGTCCAACTAGAACAGAAAGCCGCGTGTAAGGAAAAGTGCAAGGATAGAAAAGAGTATAGGCAGAGGGAGAGCTTACGCGTACATCTTCACTAGTGCACAATTCGTTTTCTTCACCATGCGAAATGCAAATGGATGCGTTTGTAAGCTATAGATGCTATAGTTAGCGGCACAATTGATACTCACATCAGGAAGGAAGACTTTACGTCTTTTGTAAATAATAGGTGATAGATTTGTATGATATATGTTCGAAGTCAACATTGAGATAGCTAGCCGAATGTTATTTGAGAGTCAAGAATCGGTAGGGCTAATGTTTATAAAAGGCTAACCGTGTTTGTGCTTGGTAAGTGCAATTTTTAGCATTTTTGCTCATCAGTCTGCTCAAATTGTCGCTACTGAGGGCACAAATAGCAAATTTTAGAAGTGGAGAACAAAAACTGTGAAAATGCAGTTCAACAATGATTTATATTATTGGGTTGGAAGTTCAATAACAGTCATTGCATTCAAAGTTTTTGTTTCATTGTAAGCACTGATTCAGGCATGCTACACACCGTTGGGTAGAAGAAAGCAATCTCTACGAATTATGGTAAGCACCGTTGTCAATGTTTTACATGAAATTACAGTAAGAAGTTCTAAAGTATAGGATTTTGAAGCTTGGAACAAGCTACAGGCGAGAGAGCAAAGCTGCAAATTTTCGGGGTTACATGCATTAGGTCTTGAGAAATAGCAGATTTAGTATCTTCTATGATGTTTTGCCACACAGGTTTGTTACAAGCTTTATTTATTCAGCCTGACGTTTCGGCAACAGTGCCTTCCTCAGAGGCCTGAAAGATAGTCTCGCTCGTATTTGCTGCTTTATACGACGCTTCCCTCCACTTGCTTCTCGATTCGTTTTAAGTGGACGGTACAAAGTCCTCATGCTATGGCAACTCACCAATGTCGGCAACGCCGCTCACTTACGTCCACCCACTGATGACAAACGACTGAAATGTCCCACAAGAGGACAGCTTAAGTAGTCGTAGGTATCTTAGAACTGACAGTACGATATGAACGGCATAAGATCGCTGGTGATAGAAAGCTGTTCATTTTTGCCATTCATCTTTGGCTGGCGCGAGAGAATGAATGACGCTTCCAGTGTCTTGCGAGCCGCAATCTTACTTTCATACGCTAAAATCCTGCACTTGACGCCAAAATCGTTACCGTTGTGATCCGCTCTGTGTTTCCAGAGTGGACTTATCGTGCTCCCTCGTTTCTTACTGGCCAAATGTTCGTTAACGCGAATGCTGAGTAAACGCCCCGTCTCTCCGATGTAGGTTGCATGACATTCCAGACATTCGAGCTCGTAAACTACCCCAAACTTGGCGCAATCCCCTGCTCTGCCGTCAGGGCATACAACGCAGTTCTGTGTGATACAATCCGTATCATATAACCTATTACGTACTAGCTGTCGCTTAATGCTGTTCGCTGGAATGTTCACGAGAACAACATCTTGGTTCAGCTGTGACTGTATCAGACAACGTTTGAACTCGTTTGTGACCCGGTCAGAGATGAATGGTAAACATAAGGGAATCAAGGCTCTAGCTTGGGTATGTTGATTACCGGCAGGTGTTCTTTTCGAATGTCTGGATCTAGTTGGGAAATAGCCATTGCATTCTGCAACCTTTCTTGCAAGCTTGAGAGCTTGTTTTTCGCTTTCGTCACTGCAAACCTCTGCGGCCGTTTTAAACATATTGCGCACAACTGCTCTTTTAGCCGAGACCGGATGGCCAGATTTGGCGTGTAAAATGATATCTTTTAATGCTCTTTACGATACCACTTTACGCGAACGTTGCAACTAGATAACATCAGCTGTGTGTTGAGATATGGTAGCCAGCCGTTCCGGGGTTTCTCTCTGGTGAACTTTATGTATTGCGATTGTTCGTTCAAAACGCGAAAACACTCGTCCATTTCGGACTGTGTTAATGTTACGATTAGACAGTCATCAACATATCGACAATACAAAATAGGACATCTGGATAACACCGGTCTTTCTATCCTGCTCATGAAACAGATAGCTAGAACCGGCGCTAGCCTTTGCCCCACTGCCAGCCCTCTCAACTGTGAGTAGTAGATTCCCGACCACTTGAAAATGTTGCAGTTCAGACATTCCTTGAAGAGCCATGACGCGCGTTTTGCTGAGACCATACATCGATATGGAAGAGCCATGAACATCAATCAGCTCAGAAAGCGCTTGAAAAGCATCACTGTTGGAAACGTTCGTGTAAAGTGATGTTACATCAAATGACTCCATTACGCAGCTATGGTGGAATTTAGCTTGTCGTAATCTTTCAAGGAAATGTCCAGTGTTCGGCAAGTGAGACGGGACTTTGCACAGGAGTTGGGCGACAATTTTTTTCAGAAACCATGAGATTCTGTCGGTTGGACCGTTCACACAGCTGATGATCGGTCGGATCCTAAACGTTGTGGCAGACGTAAAGTTCAGATCGTTTGTAGCGAGCTTATGCGTTTCGGCAGACCATAAAACACGGGACAACATGGATTGTCAATTTTAAGTCTACTCAAGAACTTTTCGTTTAGACCAGCTTCCCTACCAAGCAACAGCCATATGTGGTTCAAGCGTTTGCACTGGGAAAGGTATTCCTTTTCGGTTGTGCGACGATAAACGCTGTTATCAGAGAGGTGTTGCTCACATATTTCGCGATCCAGTTTTTGAGATATGATTACAAACTCTCCTCCTTTATCACTAACCGACAGACGAGCAATCCCACTTTTTATGAGCCTCCGTATTTCATCAAAACCTTGCCACTGTTCGTATGACAAATTGAACTGCTTGATGTTTTTGTATTTGTTCAAGACATTGAGTATGCCAGAACAAAGTATTCGGCATTTCACATCAGCAGTGTGGCACAGCAGATTTAGTCTTAACATTTCTGAGATTTCGAGCCAATCGAATTGAGACTTTCAATGAAAAGCAATTTCACAAAATGCATTGTGTGGTAAAAATGGAAAAGACGGCTAAGAACTTGACGCGCGGATATTCCAAAAGTAGTGATAGAGTTTCCTTTGTCAGAAGTGACGGATATGTTTGAGTTCGGATAGAAAGGAAACTAAATGGAAAGCGGAGTTTCTTATCGAAACTATTCACTTTTTTACGCGATGTCTTTCATGCCACTACTTGTCAGCTTTGAGAGATGTCAACAACTAGTTTTCAAATTCAAGGCGACTCTCGAGGTCGAAGAATGTTTTAGGAAACCAATTTATTCATAAATAAAGAAAGACAAGTCAATAGATAGTAAAGGCTCAGATTGATGATGCCACGATGAAGGCATCCATGGTTCGGAAGCAGCTTAGCGTCCACCTGCTTTGTGAGCCTGGTTGTTCATCATACCTAAAAGAATTAAGAGGATGTTATAGGAAAAATTTACACTTTTTTATCTTACCGCTTCCAGAGCTCATTCCTTTGTTCATCATTCCGCCACCTCCGCCCATGTTATTCATACCTGGGATATATAGTGCAGTGGACAGCAAATTCACGTAGGCAAAAGGCTTACCTCCAGTGGGAGTTGGAGTTGGAGTTGGAGATCTTGCCTGTTTTGTACTCATTCCTGAGTTCATCTCGTGAGTTGTACCCATATGTCCGCTATCTCCGACTGATTTTTCCATCTCCATTCCTGAATTGAACAGTAAGTTGGCGACTAAGTTCAAAAAAAAGATTAGCATTACCTCCAGTCGGAGTTGGGGATCTTGGTTGCTTTGTGCTCATACCTGAGTTCATTGTCTGAGTTGTTCCGCTCGATTTTTCCATTCCCTTTCCTAGATTGAACAGGTAGCTGGCAGTTGGGGGAAGGATTAAGATTAGCATTACCTCCAGTTGGAGTGGGGGATCTTGGTTGCTTTGTGCTCATGCCCGAGCTCATTTCCTGAGTCGTACCCATATGTGCGCTACCTCCGCTTGTCTTTTCCATTCCTTTTACTAAAAAAGGCATGTATTAGGTCAGGTTATTGATAATTTCTGTTGCTTGTTGGCTACTACAGATGCTGCAGGCAAATTTTTGTCCAGTTTTCTGAAAAGAGCACTTCAATGATGTAAAATTTATTTTCTCATGAACAAAGGGTACGAAGAAGTGAGATACCTCAACCTTTTCATGGTGCTCAAATGTGAAAATTTTCGTTTTTTCAATGAATAAATTTCAAAACGTTAGATCACAATTTATGTTGATATTTGTTAATTAGGGAAAACTTGAACGACTTTCGCTCGTAGATGGATATAATACAGCAAGAAAAATATTTATGAATATTTGCACGAAACGAAAATTTTTAGCTAATCCAGCTTGGGTTTGAAAGAATAAGCTCAGCATTACCTTCAGTTGGGGATCTTGTCACTTTTGCACCCGATCCGGATCCCGATCCTCCCGTTGCGCCTCCGAGAGTTTTCTGGATTGCTTGCATTAATCCACTACCACCTTTTCCACCTCCACCACCGCTATTCATTTCGCTACCCTTATCTAAAAAAGGTTCAATATATCAAATTTGAAAGCGATGTAGAATTAGGCATGCTTACTCTTCTTGTCTTGCATTTGACAGTTGACGACAGCAACAAATGCGAGAACAATGAGGAACTTCATTTTGTGACGTCAGGGAAAGCGCTAAAAAAGTAAATTCATCCAATTTTTCACAACAACAAGTGAGAAGTTTAGGAACTTACCAAACGGCGGATGAAACGGCTTGAAGACGGTGCATTTTATATGCAAGAAGCAGTATAGAGACCGTACCAAACGACTCAGTTACACAACGGAACAACAAACGCCTTTCAGCTTTCAACTGGTTTCCTCATTTTAGTAAACATCGCGTTTTGCATAGATCACTGGGTGGGTGTCAACAATGATAACAAAGTGCAAAGTCGTACAAGTTGTACCGCATCTGTACGTTTAAAGGGAAGATAAGTTTACTAGATATGCATTTATAAAGTTTGTAAGCAGTTTCCTTTTACTGAGGTTCATGGTCGAGAGATTACAAGAGAATCTAGTTTTGTTCGCATATATTAATCAGTATTGCGCAATGGCTAACACATGTGTTTTCGATTGTCCAAGGAGTACAGAGAAATAGGAAAAAAATTACTCTTACTCTCTCCATATTCTATTTATTTCATAGCTAAATACTCATCTTTGATTTTATACTTTGCTGATTTTCAAGCTTCCCTGGGAACTACTGAAGAGGGGCCCCAAGGAAGCTGCACTACCGGTAGAGGGAAGCTGCACTACCGGTAGAGTTAGTTCTAAGCCTCGAAGCCAGATAAAAAACGTACAAAAAAGCATTGAATGTTTTGTATTCTTTCATAGATTTCATCAAATTATCTTTCACTACCAAAAAACGCAAATTTTGTAATTATACTAATTTTCCCTCTTTTTTTTGATTTTTCCACTCATCCTTCTATATATATAAAACCGAATGGGATTTTGTCTGTACATTGGTGGCTTGTCTGTACGCTGATGGATAAGCATGCTTGTTGATGCTGTCTGTAGGTCCTCGATGGTGTTTTCGTGTTTGTCATTTTCCAGCATGGAAGCTTGTTATTACTTCTACCAAATTTATCGATTATTTGTAAATTTTGAACTTCGGGGCTGGGAGTTGGCACGGGGGGGGGGGGGGTAATCGAACATGCTGATTACGAATATGATAACCATTTTCAAAAATGCCCATTACTTTTATCATTTTATCGATTTTTGGCAAAGTTCAAGCTACGGGGCTGGGAGTTGGCATACGGGGCTAATCGAGCATGCTGATTACGAATATGATAACTATTTTCAAAAATGCCCATTACTTTTGTCATTTTATCGATTTTCTGGCAAAGTACAAGCTACGGGGCTGGGAGTTGGCACACGGGGGTAATCGAGCATGCTGATTACGAATACAGTATTAGTTTTTAGAATTATCAGTTATTTTTATCATTTTATCAATTTTTTTGCATGGTTCAAGCTACGGGGCTGGGGTTTGGCACGCGGGGGTAATCGAGCATGCTGATTACGAATATGATAACCATTTTCGTAAATACCCGTTACTTTTATCATTCTATCGATTTTTCTGCAGATTTTGAACTACGTGACTGGGAGTTGGCACGAGAGGGTAAGCGAACATACTGATTACGAATACAATACTTATCAGTTATTTTTATCATTTTATCGATTTTTTTGCAAAGTTCAAGCTACGGAGCTAGGAGTTGGCACACGGGGGTAATCGAACATGCTGATTACGAATATGATAACCTCAAAAATGCCCATTACTTTTATCATTTTATCGATTTTTGGCAAAGTTCAAGCTACGGGGCTGGAAGTTGGCACACGGGGGTAATCGAGCTTGCTGATTACGAATTTGATAACCATTATCAAAAATGCCCATTACTTCTATCATTTTATCGATTTTCTGGCAAAGTTCAAGCTACGGAGCTAGGAGTGGGCACACGGGCGTAATCGAGCATGCTGATTGCGAATATGATAACCATTTTCAAGAATGTCCATTACTTTTATCATTTTATCGATTTGTTTGCAAATTTAGGACTACGGGGTTGGGAGTTGGCACGAGAGGGTAAGCGAACATACTGATTACGAATACAATACTTATCAGTTATTTTTATCATTTTATCGATTTTTTTGCAAAGTTCAAGCTACGGAGCTAGGAGTTGGCACACGGGGGTAATCGAACATGCTGATTACGAATATGATAACCTCAAAAATGCCCATTACTTTTATCATTTTATCGATTTTTGGCAAAGTTCAAGCTACGGGGCTGGAAGTTGGCACACGGGGGTAATCGAGCATGCTGATTACGAATACAGTATTAGTTTTTAGAATTATCAGCTATTTTTATCATTTTATCGATTTTTTTGCAAAGTTCAAGCTACGGAGCTAGGAGTTGGCACACGGGGGTAATCGAACATGCTGATTACGAATATGATAACCTCAAAAATGCCCATTACTTTTATCATTTTATCGATTTTTTTGCAAAGTTCAAGCTACGGAGCTAGGAGTTGGCACACGGGGGTAATCGAACATGCTGATTACGAATATGATAACCTCAAAAATGCCCATTACTTTTATCATTTTATCGATTTTTTGCGAAGTTCAAGCCACGGAGCTAGGAGTGGGCACACGGGCGTAATCGAGCATGCTGATTGCGAATATGATAACCATTTTCAAAAATGTCCATTACTTTTATCATTTTATCGATTTGTTTGCAAAATTTGGACTACGGGGTTGGGAGTTGGCACGAGAGGGTAAGCGAACATACTGATTACGAATACAGTATTAGTTTTTAGAATTATCAGTTATTTTTATCATTTTATCGATTTTTTTGCAAAGTTCAAGCTACGGAGCTAGGAGTTGGCACACGGGGGTAATCGAGCATGCTGATTACGAATACAGTATTAGTTTTTAGAATTATCAGCTATTTTTATCATTTTATCGATTTTTTTGCGAAGTTCAAGCCACGGAGCTAGGAGTGGGCACACGGGCGTAATCGAGCATGCTGATTGCGAATATGATAACCATTTTCAAAAATGTCCATTACTTTTATCATTTTATCGATTTGTTTGCAAATTTTGGACTACGGGGTTGGGAGTTGGCACGAGAGGATAAGCGAACATACTGATTACGAATACAGTATTAGTTTTTAGAATTATCAGTTATTTTTATCATTTTATCGATTTTTTTGCAAAGTTCAAGCTACGGAGCTAGGAGTTGGCACACGGGGGTAATCGAGCATGCTGATTACGAATACAGTATTAATTTTTAGAATTATCAGTTACTTTTATCATTTTATCGATTTTTTTGCAAAGTTCAAGCTACGGAGCTAGGAGTTGGCACACGGGGGTAATCGAGCATGCTGATTACGAATACAGTATTAGTTTTTAAAATTATCAGTTATTTTTATCATTTTATCGATTTTTTTGCAAAGTTCAAGCTACGTAGCTAGGAGTTGGCACACGGGGGTAATCGAGCATGCTGATTACGAAAACAGTATTAGTTTTTAGAATTATCAGTTATTTTTATCATTTTATCGATTTTTTTGCAAAGTTCAAGCTACGGAGCTAGGAGTTGGCACACGGGGGTAATCGAGCATGCTGATTACGAATACAGTATTAGTTTTTAGAATTATCAGTTATTTTTATCATTTTATCGATTTTTTTGCATGGTTCAAGCTACGGGGCTGGGGTTTGGCACGCGGGGGTAATCGAGCATGCTGATTACGAATATGATAACCATTTTCGTAAATACCCGTTACTTTTATCATTCTATCGATTTTTCTGCAGATTTTGAACTACGTGACTGGGAGTTGGCATACGGGGGTAAGGGAACATGCTGATTACGAATATCATAACATTTCAGAAAATACCCCTTACTTCTATTGGTTTAATTAATTTTTTGCAATGTTTGAACTATGGCGTTGGGGATTGGTACAGGCAAGTAATTGAGCATGCTGCTCACGAAGGCATTCTTATTTTACAATTTATCAATTACCTTCACTAGCTTTATCGATTTTTTGCAAAGTTTGAGATACGGCACTGGGATTTGGCACATGGGAAATAAGCGAGCATGCCGATTACGATTGTAATAAGTGTTCTTAGAAGAACCTATTATTTTTGTCGATTTTTCTATTCTTTGTAAAATTAGAGCTACACGGCTGACATTGCACAAAGTTGTATGTGAGCACGCTCACTGCAAAGATAGTTTTTGAGGATTTTCATTACTTTTATTGATTTCCTCTTTTTTTCAAAGCTGAAGCTACGAGGTTCAGATGGCACTAATCCGGGGGTAAGTGAGCATGCTGAGAATTCTATAATCACACTCTGAAATTACGAAGGCGGTAAATTTACCTAAAGTTGTTATAAATTCACTTTGGCCCGCCTTTACCTTTTTGAATCCTACTTCTGCCCCCAAAATCAGAAAAGCACATAGAGCCCGGTTTCGAGGGAAGAAAATGTTTATAAACTGAGGCGGCAAGCAGTCGAGGGGGGGCGGGGGGGGGGCGCCCCCCCCCCTCGAGTCGGTCGCGAAATTTTTGAAACTTACCTATATGAGTTATAAAAATGTGCAAACGACTTGTTTATTTATGTAAATAATTGAAATAATCTTTAAAATTTTTTAAAAATTCAAATTAGCTTTATAAAAAAAATTTTTCGGGGGCGTGGCTGACGCCACGTCCCCTTTTTTCAAATTTGGGGGTTGGGAACCCGCAAAAATTTAGAGAAGCACCCCAAAAATTCTTTCGGAGTGCGTGGCTAACGCCGCGCACCTTCATTTGAAAAAAATTTTTGTCGCGCCCCCCTCGGTCCGAAATCCTGCGACCGCCACTGGCGGCAAGATATTTCGGTACTTTTCCGTTATCTGGACCCATTTTTTCAAAAAAGAGTATTGCTTCCATCCTTGTACCATATTTGGTGTCAGCTTTACAGGGAGGAGTGCCAACCTTCTGCCACGTGTCAAAAAAATTTAAAATGTCATTTACATGCTTAACAGGTTTTACTAAGAGTTTTCGTTCAATCTGTTTTGTAGTCAATTTCAACCTCATTTCGATCAAGCATTTCAAAGTGAACATTGTCATAATAATAACGACATACTCTTATCGATGA